GACGTGACTTTTCGAATAAAATGTGGTCAGCGAGGTAAGCCAAAGGTGGTGCATGCCAACAGGCTTTGGCCTTGTCATGGTCCAGGACATTTCTGTTGGAATGAAGTGAACAATGGAACAAATGAAACTGCTGAAGACGTATCACCTGAAAAAGCCACTGTCAAAGAAGAAACTCTACCTGGTTTTGAGAAGGAAAACAGTGAAGCCATTAATGAAGTTACTACCGCTGATGTGACTGCTTTTGATAATGGGACATTTCCTTATGGAGCAGATGATTCCCATGTGTAGTAGAAGCCAATGAGGCAGAGACCAGTATGGAAGAAGATACATCCTGTAAAATTAGGATACTTTGTTGTAGTTTAATTTTGTGTTTGTAAATTCTGTACATTTAATTAAGTTATTGTTATTTATCTATTGGTTAAATGTAAGTGGCTATTGTTCGGGACGAACAATACTAAGGAAGGGGCAGTGTTACGACAGTGGAAGTCGTGTGACACTGGGAGCATGCATGCTGGAGTTTCTAGAATTATCGGGGGAACCATGCAAATCTCCGAGTATTTGCTAGACACCCTCTTTTTAGTATATAAGCCTGGCAAAGAAAGCCAGCGAGATAGGCAGATAGATCCAAGAGATAGATTGAAGAGAGAGAGAGATAATTGAGTCAAGCGAACAGTAGGCACCGTAAGTAAAGTATGTGAATCACTGTGATTTATAGCATGTGATATAAAGATTGTTAAGTTTAAAGTGACTGTGGAAATTCTGTGCATTACAAAGTTGTATTTTCACAAAATATGACATGATATTAGCTTATTACAGCATATTTACATATTTATACTGTTTCTTCTTATACCCACTAAGATAAGAAATTAGTTTATTAAAGTATATGTAATTTTTTGTGTTTTTTTTCAACAAATCTATGTGAGTCAGGCGTGGTAACATAAACTTATATGTCAATAATGTTTAACCTACATAAAGCTAATATTTGATATATGATGAAAAAAGCAAAGGAGTCCTCTGATTCAACAACAATGTGTCTTCCTCTTCAGGGATTACTGTTCATTTCTTTCTGTTAAAACGTTTACACATTCCCAGTCATCTTTAATTTCTATAATTTTGCTTTTATTTATTGGTTTCATTCTCAGGATGTTTACCTTTGCACATCTCATGTAGCTGATATAATAAATGTCTTAACAGATTCCTTTTCCTGAGTTTGATGTTTTTTTCCCCACAAGGTGGAGACTGGTATTGTAATGGTTGTACAAATAGATGTGTCATCCATTGTTGTTGGTTCCATAAGAGTGAAAACCATTTTATTTCAGTCTGGTCTCCAGCAACCACTCTGTCCCGGTGTACAGTACAGGGGAATTGTAATTGATAAGTTTAGATTTCACTATTTTCGTATAAGCTGTGTTTGAGATTATTAATGTCTTTGTTCATTATAACAAACAATTAATGAAATTCTATTTGTATTATTTGTCAGGAAAATATTCAATTAATCAAAGTAGTGCTTTGAACTAGTACTGTTTTCAGTTGTTCTAACAGTTGGTTAATCAAAATTAAGATTACATTGCTTGTCATAAAGACAATCAACTAATCCACATTTGGATTATTGATTATCACTATTTTCAATTACTCCAAGTATCCAAGTATTATTATAGTTTTATGTTGTTAAGTTCAAAGTTATACAATGGGCTACACATGTTTCTTGTTTTTACTTTGCTTGACATGTTTAGATTGCATATTTTTGATAATTGACAGTTTTCTGGTGGATGTCAGGATACTTGTGTACCACAAAGTAAATTATACACCAGACCTGTTCATCTAAACACATTGTGTTGTATTTCAGTATGATGTAATGAAGCATGATTTACATTCAGTGTTGTTATACACAAATAAACACTATTTATACTTCTATCAACAGTAGAAGCTGATTCCTTACAACAAAGATCTTTACATACCATTTTGAAGTTTGGTGTAGTGAAAGAGGAACAAGAAGAGAACTGTGATGAAGGAACAGAAAAAACTGAGGTAATTTTTGTTTAAAACTTTTATAGTTATTGTAAAGCTGTAAAGATGTCTTTCTGGACTTCATTTGATTAACTCTCTCAACATGGGCTCGGTCAATTTGATTGACCATGTGACCTCTTTGTACTTGATTAAAGTCTTTATAGATTTATTACTTCTACTTTCAATATAGTTTGTATATCGTCAAAAAATTTGGCAGTTTTTCAGTTCATATTATAAGTGTTTCACATAGAAAAAATCATATTTTTTAGTGAAGTATTTTTAATAAAATAAAATAGAAATTTGTCCATAAATATATTGAGTATTTGTTTTGAATAGTTCATGTGCAAAATAATTTTCATGTTAAAATTAAAAATACTTTTCTTCATGTCAAAAATCTCAGATTTCCTTTGTGTAATCCCTAAAACCTAAATGCGTTTCAAACGTTTTTTTTTTCAGTAAAACTTCAAAGTATATCTGTTATTTTCTCTATCCTATTTCATAATCACCAAAATGAAATAAACCTAAATTACTCTTTATTTCTTTCTAGAATGACTTCAAATTGTAACATGAAACTACATTCGTTTATCCCAAGTAGCTCTAAGTTCGTAACAGCATATATCTATTTATAATTAAATGTTATTGTTTTATTGCCCTTTGAACTGTGTCTAACTACTGTCTGTGCCATTTTTGTTGTAAATCACTTGGGAGAATGTGTAACTCACGTTATGCTATCGAATTGCATTATCCATGAGTTGCTCGCACACATGCCTCATGAACCATTTTAATTATATTATTATTACTTATTTTACCTAATCTAGTCGTAAATAACTTACAAAGATCTGTATTTTTAGATTTTAGCTACTTTTGTAGTAATAAATAAAGAATATATATGAGAAACAAGAAATAATGTACTTAATCAATCTTCTTTTTTTCTTGCCCTCGATTGTCAAGGACAGTTAGCCTGATTTTTTATAGTAATTATAATTATGCAATTAATAATTTTTATTTAATTAAATAATGCACCAAAGAAAATAGACTAAATAACATGCAAAAAGTAGAGAAATTCCCCTAACTCTCAAAATTTTTCTGGCTTTCTAACTGTGTGACAAGAGCCATTACAAATTCATCCAAGCTAGCCGTTAACTTTCCCATGAGAACAAATCTTGTACTGTGAGTGAACTGAACAACATTCTGTTCAGAACACAACGTTATACAATACATCATTTGATAGATGAAAACCTTGACTTTCTATTGGTTATCGGTAACATATAATGAAACATAAGAGAGAATTACCAATGAATTGTGAAACAGAGGATGTGATGGGTAGGTGTGGCAGGAGGGGTCTGATTTTCTATTGGATAGCTCTGTAACCAAACAAAATTGAAGGCTTTAAAAATTATAGTTTGTATGGGCAATAACAATTTTATAGAGTATTTTACGTTTAATTTCATGAATTTTTGAGGAGTGGTGGATAAAATAGGGATGATGACATGCTAAGAGAAAATGTCACATGGATCACACTAGTGGAAATTCAGGATTTTTAAAAATGTTTTCTTGTAGAAGTAAGAACTTATAACTTTTATATTATTAAAATATGGATTTTATGGTATTCTAATTGGTATAACATAAACAAAAAGTAGTTTCATAAAATTTTGAATAGAAAACACTAAAACCTTGTGTCATGTGCAGTAAAGGATACCATGGGGTGATAGGGTTAAAGGAGAGTCAGTGTTGAGATACTTGAAATCTTGAAATTCACAAAATTTAATAAACTGCTCTCTAAACCTGTCACTTTGTTCTTTTTTGTATCATTAATGTTAACAATCCACATATGTTAACATTAATATTTCTGATACAATACATACTTTTTCTCACATACAAAGCTTCTCTCGATCTTGGACTACCCTCTAATGCATTAAAAATCATAATTCTCTCCTAATGCACTAACCTTTTTAATCCCCTGAGTTCCTGCTGCTTATTTAGCGTGCATAGCACATTTGTCAACCCTCCACCAACAGGAGAGTTTACACACTCCCTCTCCTCCTCCTTTCTTCTTATCCTATTCTGTTCCCTCCTCCAAATGATTTAGTTTCTTGCATTTGTCTTTCCAAGGCTGTGTCAGAGATTCTGCTCAAAGACACTGTCAAACCAGTAATTTCAGTTTCTTCAGGTTTTTATTCTTGACTGTTTGTCATCCCCAAGAACACTGGAGATTAGAGACCAGTCATAGATTTGTCCCTTCACAGAATTGGTCGGGCCTTCACATTTATGCTTTCTCCTTGGCAAGCACTGTTAGTAGCTCCATATTGACCAACTTATTAATCTTGGTTCCCTCTTCTCAAAGTTTTGCAGATGTCACCTCCTCTGCCTCTCCATCACTCCTTCGTCAACCTCCTTTGGGTGCCTTTCATCCCGTCATACCCATCCTCCATCTTCATGCTTGGTTTTTCAGATCCCTCACCAGATGCACGAGTCTGACAGTGTGTTGCTTCTGTTCTCTCGTGTTCCTCTATTGCATCAGTTTACCAACGCCGTTGGTATACTTTTAGTTGTTCATCTGTCAGACATGGTTTCAATCCTACACAGTCTACTGTGCATTATTTTTCCCAGGTTTTCTCTTGGCTCTTTGATCAGAATCTTTTATTTTTTACAGTTTCAAGCTATCAGGCTTTTTTTCCCCAGTTTCACCATGTTTTTTTCATCACTGGTCCTTTCCCTCTTCTTCTGGTTGTTTTTACTTCTTTAACCTCATATTTTTCCTCTCCCTGATTGTAATCTTAATGTTGTCCTTTATGCCTTATCACATTCTCTATTTGAACTCTTGTCATCCTGTTCCCTCTATCATCTTTCTGTTAAGACCTATTTTTCTTCTTCTGTTGGCATTGGGTCAGCGTAAGTCTGACTTTTTTGCCATTGATGTTTCCCATATACTTTATCACAGTATCTATATTGTTCTTTGTCCTTTCCCTCTTCTTCTGGTTGTTTTTACTTCTTTAACCTCATATTTTTCCTCTCCCTGATTGTAATCTTAATGTTGTCCTTTATGCCTTATCACATTCTCTATTTGAACTCTTGTCATCCTGTTCCCTCTATCATCTTTCTGTTAAGACCTATTTTTTTTCTTCTGTTGGCATTGGGTCAGCATAAGTCTGACTTTTTTGCCATTGATGTTTCCCATATACTCTATCACAGTATCTATGTTGTTCTTTATCTGGACTGTTCCTTCCTTCCCAAAACTTCTTCCAAAGAAGGAGAATCTGCCTTCTCCCTTAGATCCATCTCACATCTTTATTCTTGATTGGATCCTGATCACCTTCTGTGTCCTGTATGAGCATTGCATTGCTATATTTCTTGTCCTCCTTTTCATGGCTCCTATTTGTTTCTGTCCTGGAATCTTGCTGTTTCTTGTGATCTTTCTCATATCACTCTTATGGGTTGGGTTTGTTAGCTTATTCAGTTGGCTTACTCTTCCCTTTCTTGTGAAGGATGTTATCTTTATCAAAATTGCCACATTACTATGTCATTGGCTGCTTGTTTTCATCGCCCTTTGGAGGAGATTGTTCATACCAGTATGTGGACTACTACTCAAACTTTTGTATTGCATTACTTACATCATTTGGCTGTATCCTTTGCTGACAGATACCATCTTCCTCCAGTGGCAATTCTGCATGGTCCGGTTCAGTTGGTGAGTGTATTCTTTTGTGTAATTTGTTTTCATTTTTTTTGCAGTGGCCTCCCCTTCTGTTAGTTTCTTATTCAGATCCCACTCTATGGTGAATATTGCCTGGTCAGTTGTGCTACGATATTCGTATATATATATATATATATATATATATATATA